CTGTTTTCTAAAAATGTAGTCAGGTTCAAGCATCCAGGCGCAGCTTCTGGCTGCCCAATATAATAATAATAAACAAATGTATTCACAGTACAACCAGTAACTACAGTAACTCATTTAAATAATAAATGTGATTGCAATGCTTCAATGTGCATACTTTCTACAGAACTTTACTAAAAGTTCCGTTCCGTCAAACCTTATTTTTTGAAGAGGTCAAATTAGTAATTTCGGATTTTCAAGATGGCGGTTGAGCGCTTCGACAGCCCACCAGTTCGTCATTTTGAGAAACAGCCAATGTTCTATGTTTATAAAGTACTGATAAGTGTAAACACCGATAGCGCACCAGATTGGTGCAAGATCAAATATCTGGTTTATCCATTAAAATTAGTTACCAATACCAACGGATTAGCAAAAAGGATCAAAGGTGACCCAGTCGCTACCAAAAAAAACATTTTAAGTTATAGTTACGTTAATTCGACTTCAAAATAGGTTAAAAAGATTGCACGACCAATTTAAAAAGGGTTATATTTACTTCCAAGCGATTGCCTCTTCACAAAGTGGGGATTAAAACCAAAGTGATTTAGAAGTCGATGTTAAGTCGATGAGGCACTTATTACCAAGTGTGTCATAAAATGGCCTGCGTGTGTGGAAGTGATTATAGCACAATGATCTCGAAATTAAATTTTTCAAGAGAGGTGATGGATGTGACTGGATCACAAGTGCACGAAGCATCTATGCGCAAGAAAATTTTTCGACAAAACTGGCCACAACAGTTACTCCAAATTCAGGGGGAATATAACAAAGCTAAATTGAATTTGTTAACAATTTTATCGAGACACTCTGATAACAACATAACCTCAAATTCGAAGGACGCTTTGTTTTAGGACGCGAAGTTTGGGTGAGTTGGATATTTTTGGAAAATAATAATAATATGTAATCAATAAGTTATTGTTCATATTTTAATATTAAATAGAGAATATGTCAAATATGGCCGTTTTCAGAATTTCGACCTTTAGGGATCTTTCCTTGCAGCATGCATTTTTTACTTTATAGTTGAGTTTACTCTATTTCAGACCTAATAATCACTTACAGGTAGGATTCTAAATCAAGGTGACAGTAGGTCCTGGTTTTCATCTTTGGGTAAACAATTTGACATTAAATAATTTTTTCTACCAGCGTGCGGAAAGTACTCACTTTCCACACGCATCTGTGTGCAGAAAGTGTATTTTCCGCCCTTTCCGCACTTGTAGGCTGTATTTATTAGTTTCCCGTAGCTGGCGAGATGTGTATACTACAATCCCACTTCGTATTGCGCGTATATGATAGGGGGAAATTGCTAACAGGGATCATCCTCTCTTTTTAAATTACAGTCGTTGCCTAATCCAAAGCAAGAGAGAGAGAGACAGATGGACGTATCGGAGTGCGTTCATTAGTAGCGTTTAGTGTCTGGTTTTGCAGTTCTGTGATATATACGAGTTTATATTGTGTTTTTTTTTATCTCGTATGCAGCTTGTTCAAAAGAAAAAAGGTTAGGTCTAAAACGTATCATAGAGAAGAAATAATCACTTCAAAATTTCGTTCTGTATTACGCAGTACACATAGTAAGCGCAATGCGTTCTTACTACAATACTCCCGAATCGAACGCTCATGCGCATTTTAAAAAAAAACCGGTTATAGTGAGGTACGTTAGGAATCTTCCTGTATAAATTTTCAGATACCTTCTTAATTATATTTAAATATCACTGAACATGCACTCATAAGCAAGCACGCTGCAAATATTCTAGAGGTGTAACAAAGACAACATGCAGTTTATTTTGAAATCCTATCTCAAATGAAGTCAGGAAAAAATAAAAGGTAGTTTGGGATAAATCTGGTAGGTGAAACAAATTACTTTGATCTTTTCAAAACATACACACAAAAAAGAGTGCTATTGATTCAATAGCATGAGTTACTAGGAAATTATTATGATATTAGTTCGAGATCACAGATACTTCGAATAAGGTAATTTTGTTGTTTTGAAGAAACGTAGCACTTACGATTGAGAAACTGACCTTTATTCAAAGATATATGTCTTAGAAACATATCGAAATCACGGTCCTCAATTGAAGATAGTTGTTCTTGAACTACAATTAAAAACACTAAAAACTGTGTGCAAAAATTCAGTATGGCGTCCATAAAATAACGTAAATTTGATGCTGCAGGACCAGCGACGAAACTATGTACATATGGAAATTCTAATCGTGCCTTCTTATAGAGGAGAAGTGGCAATGTTAATGTACAATTTGTTTGAATTACGTTTCAAACCATCGTTTCCCATAATAAGGCTCTTGTATCGGCTTACATTTCGAAACAGAAAGATCTTCATCCTACTTCAACCAGCCTACCTGTGATAGGTCATCCAGACATAATGAAATACATCGGACTCAAGCAATCGTCGGCAGCTTGAAACTTATGTAACAATCGAATTGAGCTCCAGCGCTGTCTCTCATCAGCTGCAGCTTCGTTATAACTGAAGCTTACTGAGAGAAACGTCCGCATTTGCTGTGCACCTGAAAGCTGTTCCAACGAACTCCTAATTATTAGTATATAAGGAGTTGTAAAGTTGGAATATTCGAGTGTAGATAAACGGGTCATAAGCCTACAAAAGAGGAAAATTCTTTCATTCAAAAAAATTAATCGTCTGTTATACTACTCCGGTTACTAGTTGAGCCCCTAATTGAGTTTAATACGATTACCAACCCGTATAATTATACAATCTAACATCTAAGTTCAGCCTGTAGTGAGAACTTTGCGTGAAATTCTATTTGAATTGGTTTCTATATGTAACGACTCTTTGACACGTTGGGCCAACATACACCAACACCATATCTAGAGACTTGTATGACATTGGTGTAAACAGCGAACGAGTGAGAGTGGGCATGACATTTTTTTTCATATACTAAAAAAATAGGTTTGTTTCAGTCATAGACTAGTAACTTTCAATACGATAAGTAGTAATCTGAGATACGAGGGTGCGTAGACATGTTTTGAAGTAACTTGAAATTTATGACTTCTCATGAAAACAACAACACTTCAATTGACCTCTTTTTGGTATTCGACTAAGACTCCAAGGACGGATTCAGAAAGATTTATGCTTTACGGAAAGAATTGCTAGTTTTAACAAAAGGCGAAGTTAGATTTTAGTTCACGTACGTTTGCTCTGCAATACAGAATTCCTACAATTAACAGTAAGAATGGCAGTATTAATACAATAAAAAATTAAATATAACCAAATAAAAAGTCAATTACTGTCAATTTTATGCTAATGTTACCAGTATTACCGAATGCTACCGAAAAGTATGGAATATATTCTTACCGAATTATAAACTAATATTGACCATTTGCCACCACTAATTTATCCGGTAGCATCAGTTAATCTTAATTTTATGATAATCTTACCAAAATTATCGAATATAACGTATTCTTACCGATTTAGAAATTAATATCGGTCATTTGCCAACACAAATCCGTTAGCGTGTTTATTACCAGTTGTAGCGCCATCTTTTGGCGACCAGCGGGAAAAGGGCCTAGAACATCGAGGACTAGCCTCTAGTACGATCCGATGTTCTAGAAGACACCACACACCGGTATTTCGATATAAAGTTAGCTGCGTCCAGGGAATGAGCTCTGTTCAGTCGAGACTTATCGAGCGAAAAACGTTCGACTTTGAGCGTAGTACCGCGACCCACTCATAAATCCCTTTTGATACTATAAATGTATGGATTAGACCTTGGAGACGGATATAGGCCACCTTTTGTTGTGGAACTTAGACTTGAAGGGATTTAAATAAGGGGCAACTATTATTTTTTGTATTTAGGTATACAGACACGGATTTCATATGCTCTGTTGTTTAATATAAAAAAGAAATTTTGTGAATTCCACCCCTAAGGGGTAAAGTGTTAAATCAAACTTTTACCGTGTTAGTTTTGGCTTTAGATTATTTCAAATGAATCCAGCCTAAAGATACAAGTATGTTTTGTCTTGAATTTTATTTTTAAAATAATTATTATTAACAAAGAGTTTCAGAAATTATATCCTCGAGGTGGAGTAGGAGGACTTGAATATTTCTTTGGGCTGAGAGGTAATTTATGAACAGGACGTGTCAGGTGAGAAAAAATTGTGTGACAGGGCCTCAAGATGGCTATTGGATTTTCCCCATTAAGGGATTGAAGGGCACTTACAAGTTTATCTGAACTCGCTTGGAGCTTTCTAATATCTAAAAATTGGCAGCGATGAGCTTCAGTTTGGAGTCGACTTGAATTAAAAATGAACTGTTTGACCGGAAATTTGGCAGAGAGGTAGCTTTTACAGTATAAAATTTATTTTAATTTAATGCTAATATATAATAAAGCTGGCAGTATTATTAATTTTTTAGCTTTCCGCTCCGCGGTTTTACCTTCGCAGCTTGTAGGAGGCTCCATTAATAAAATAGCCGCATTTCCCAAGCATGCAAGTTAACTGTCAATTTATTAATACCATGCAATTATAGCAATGCTCAAAAACAATGTTACATGTTAGTAACAACTTAACGCATACGAAGCCGCGGCTTACAGCTGGTTTGTTATCAATAAGTTATAAGTTTTTTTATGAATTACTGTGTTAAGGAGTAATAAATTACTTTCTTTAGTTAACACATGTTTTTGTTACAATAAGATGGTATAAAAATGGCAGCTATATCATACACTGCTTTAGCAAGGAGCAAATAAAGTCCCTTATTGTCCGCAACCATCGTGGAACGGAAAAGCCCGTTGTTAGCATTCGGATTTTGTTTGCGCTCAACGGTCAGTCTAACTATCCGTGCATTCCTTTATTTCCACCGAGCGCGCACATATAAGTGAACATGGTTTCCGTCTCTGCAGCTGTATTCCGATGCAGCAGTCGAATCCAGCATACTCGTAGAGCGGTGTGGCAGTTGCCCTCTATGATTTAGAGAGAACAATAATATCCACCACTGTTTCCGAGAAATGTTGCTTACAACTATCCTGACAGGTCACTATGCTGCTCTCAACCTCAAGGAGCGTCTCTCAAGATCAGACTGCCCCTCTACTCGTTACGAAAACACAAAAGCTTTTATAGTAGGAAACCGTTGCGGTCCTTTAAGATACTACAAAGGTTATGCATTCCCATAGAGACAGTTTGTCCTCCTATAGCTCTAGTTGTACAAAACCATGAATACTTACAAAATTTGATTAAGCCTCCTACCATCTACAAAAACATGTATATTTGGTCAACTAAAAAAATATCGTCCGATTCGCGAAGTGCGCATTTAGTCGATTTGAGGTTAGGGACAATCTGAATTTCGAAATGACGCCCAGTGAATAGTCAATTGCTTAATTGAAAAATGTCGCATAACTTATCGTATGCCTTTGTGTACGCATGGACGTATCTCGTTAACAGTACTGCGTTACGCGCATCCATTTTGGCATACTGCTTCTAATTATTGTATTCAAAGCAGATAAAAAACGAGGGTTCTCAAAAAAATAGGAAAGCATATACAGTATCAAAAGAGAATCATTGAAGTCCCGTATGTAATATGTATAAGCGAGATGGGAAGAGAAACACGTATGGTCAATGCAAAGCGTGAACGAAGCGTGCTCGATACTCCAAGGATAACGAGTCTGTGAAAGCATCATTTGCATTTTCGGTCTAACATACTCGGTCTCTCGCACACACACACGCTCACACATTAAATAAGGGACCTCAGTTATTTCATACCAAGACTCTATAAAAAACATTATCTTCTTTAATACCCAAAGATAGTAGGATACCATTGTCTAGTGGAATCAAACCACATATATGTTTAAATTATTGTTTATTGTACGACGTTTCGATGACCACGGTGGAGTCCTGTGAACATGAAAACCGCAGGATAAGTTTAAGTTCATAGAGCCGTAGTCATGTAATATCGCCGATTGAAAATTAAGATGCGGGGGTGAGAGATAGTTGCGGCGGTGCAGCAGTTGCAGTACTTGTAGGACTTGTGAGCTTGAATGCCTTTGTTGTAGTTGATGACGGAGAGAGGGGGCGACGGCTCTATCGTCAGTGCTTCTGACACTGCCCTTGCTATACTTGAAGAGCGGGGGGGAGGGGGCTGACGTGGTGGCTAGTCTATCTCAATTTTCATGACCCCTTCCTGGATCCACCCTTGGTCTGTCATACATTATTAAAATTGAAATTAATATATATAATATGTATACAGCGTGTCCCAGAAATCACACGCCAGGTTGACGTGGTAGGTATATTGGCTTCAAATCACTCAGATAAAACCAACCTTAGTAAAAGTTTTCTGGTGTTCGAGATATTGCCACTTTTAAGTGTTCTTAAAAATTCCTACCTTTTGCTCCTCTTTGACCTTTTACGGCCATAAAGAACTTATAACTTATAATTTTATTTCCTGGGCTACAATTAATAGTATTCATTTCATTGAAAACTAGCACGCTATGCTAAAAGTTCCTCGTTGTGACATAATGCTACCGACCGAACAGTGAATGTGATAGCGAGATAATCAATGACATGTTTAGGTCGTTTCATTCCTTAGTGATTTGGATACACTTATTTTTCATTTGTAGAATTTCGCAATTATTACGACTTCAATGACAAAACTTGGAGTTATTCAATTATTAAAAGAAAAAATGTTACACTATTTTGAAAAGAACATTGAATAATAGGTTAGTTTTTAAGATCATTTGCCGATTCAGTCTATTACATTTTCTTTCACAGTAATTAATCAAACTTTAGTAAAAGTTTTCACATTGAAACAAAATGATGAAATGAATACTTGGTTGTCTCAACGAACTATTAGCGGTTGCTCAGGAAAAAATAATCATATGTTAAAGGTTCTGTATAGCCATAACAGACAAAAAAGGAGCAAAAAGTAAGGATTTTTTGAAAAAACTTGAAAGTGACAATACCTCATATTATATTTCTAGGACAGCCTGTATATATATACATATAACAGTGCAGGACCGGAAAGAGCCAAGCATATCCGGCTGAAGCCGGATGGAACGCAACCAGATCGAAAAACTCTGAGTAGTACCTTTTAACTTTTGTAAGAAAGGCTACGATAAGCCAATTGGTTCGCGACCTTGACTGCAAAAAACATTGAAAATGGGTATAATTATTGATGTATCATATGATTAGGCTTTAGAAGAGTTCGGAATCAGTGGTGCTAACGCTACACTGCGTTGAACACACCGTTTTGATATTGAGATTGTCATTATGGCTCTTCTAAACGGGCAACATATTTACTGCATTACCTAGCTGCAATAGAGCAGCCTCACGGCAATATTTTCAATCTGTCCCGGTAACACAAGCTAGACATTTATTTATTTTGTTTTATTTAATCAACGGGTAGAACCCTTCTGACAAATACAAAATAGCCTTGATTTAACGAATGAATGTAATGATCTTAATACATAATCATAAATTCCAATTACTTCTAAACTAGATATTACCTAATATAAGAAGACGAGTTGTGGGTTCATTTAAATCATAATTTGTTTGACAAAAGGGGACAAAGAAAGAATCGATATGTCGCGTTCCCCTATCATTAACCATAAGTGAAATTTCTCCTAACCAGCCTGCGTCGCTCAAGATAAATCATATTCATGTAAAAAAGGGTATTTAGTATAACTATGAAATTCATTTTATATCCACAGATTCTCAAACATTTTTTCTACACACACGCTCTAATAGGTTGATCTGTAAGAACAATACAGAATTTTAAAAGAAAAAAGTGACAGATCAACACAATAACGATTTATAAAAACTATCATCTTATATTCACAGTTGATTGTTTTCTCAATATGTACGTTAAATGATAATTTTGAGTTGAAATAACACCCGAGTCCTTGACCTAGTCTGTAGTTTAAAAATATCAACCGTTGATGATAAGAATAAGTAATAGGAGAACGAGACCGACTAAATGTAATTTTGAAAATTTTCTGATTTAGAATTAAAACATCCACTGCACCCTAATGAGAAATAAGAAGAGTATCTTTGCCGCAATTCTGCATCATGTTTGCTCCCAATAATTCCAGAAATCTTAACATCATCCGCACCTAAGTGGGAACCCTGCTGGACTCTAGAAGTTACACGAATACTTTGAGATGTACACCCACCTTATCTTACCATCTGAGGTCTATCAGAGAAGTAACTACTTCCAATTCAGGAGCTAACCCTGCATCACATAATGTAATCAAGGCTATCTCACCACGTACAATTTCGTTAGCCATATTGCTGGAATGCTGACAAGTGCATGTGGGCCATATGTTGCAATGTGTTCATGATGGCTGGGCTACAGTTGCTTCAGTTATAGCATTGATTAACGTATTCTACTTGGCCTCAGCTGCCTCTCTATATACTATAAATATACTTGATGTCTCATAAATGGCGCACATATTATATATTGCTCATATAGACAGCATTATCTATGTGACCCTAACCTTTTTAAGGTAAATATAGTAAATAGAGAAGCAGCTATGGGAAAACTTTTTGGTCATGCAAAATGGCTTTTTAGAGGTCATTAAAGCTAGCCAAAGCAGTACTGACAAATTATGTCCCATCTGTGTAAAGTGTAACGCCTATGGCAGAGTTCTCTTTCATGTATAAACCCAACTTGAGTTTTTTGCCGTTTCAATTAGGGATTGAAATAGTATACTTGACTAAAACACACTTTTTTCTTTCCAGGCGAACATCCAGCTGCAATGCAGCATGGCGGCCAGCTGAGGCATGAGTACCCTCTGACAGCGGTTTTGCTCAGCATTCTGGTAGCTGTGGCGGCGCCATAGACACTCAAGGGGTGTAGTGAATTTGTAAATAAGAACAGTGATATTTCGCGAGGACAATTCTTCTACTAATCTTTGTTTTATATGGATGCAGTAACAATCTGTACTTTTGAGGTTAGTATATACAATACTATTTTCAGATGTTTAGTTTTACCTAAACCGATGGATTTCATCAGAGATAAAAATCATGTGGCTAGAGCAAGAAGGTGATGGTTCCTAAATTATGAAAATTTTTGTCATGTACAGGGTTGTCAGCTAAGAATGTTAGGTACTGTGTCTGGGAACCTAGCCATCGTAGAGGCTTGCGGCAAAAACAGTTATTACTAAAACGGCCAAGAGAAAAACCTGGAAAATATTTTACCGTTTCTGAAATGGCCGCTAGCGTAACTGCAATTCTAGATCTAAAAAAGTGATGTTTCTGTGAATTCCGCTATATTAACCCCACAAAAAAAGATAATTAAAAAGGTTTCCGTAAAAAACACCCTGTATCTTCGAAACGGCTGAGCCGATTGTAACAAACTTGGGCTAGTTGAAAACAGCTATTGGGCTACAAATGATGTAATATTTGAAGTTTTGTTAGTTTCTCATGTGGCCGCTAGAGAGCCTTTTTCGACATGCCGACAGAAATGATTAATTTTCTTAAAAAAAATTACATGCATTGATATGATTTTTTTTATGGAAAAGTAGTTAAATGATGTCTAAACAAGCTCGTGAAAACTGAAATTTAGGATGTCTAAATATTTATCTGAGCTTACAATGCCATTGAAATGTAATTTGCCAACTCTTATTGCCGACATTGAAGCCTAGACCATTACTGAAGATGGAAATTTAACTTTGCGCTTGAGACAATCAGTATGATAAGTTTCGTGTTTTTGGCGAATAACTCTGCTCCGACTATCACCGACGCAAAGTTCGAATCGTGACTAGTCACTCCAGTGCACACGATTACACCTCTCCGTATCCAAATTTCGATGATTTTTAGCCCATTTTAACCTGTTTTGCTTCTGCTTTAGGGTCAATAATGGTTTTTCTTTAGCCTGCTCCAAAGGAAACAATAATTACCTCTTATTGCTTAGGATTGAACTCGTGAAACTTACCTTGTTAGTACCATAACCTAGTTTTCCTGCTTCTGAATAACACGTAGACCTGCAAACACGTCTTCCAACAGCTTCACTCCTGAGTACGCTCAACTGTCCGTAGTTAGCACGACTATTAGACTTGATAATTCCGCCCAAAGCTCGTCTATAAGGGTCTGTTAGTTTGGATTTTTTTACATATCTGGGTTTTTGGGCAGTTGAACCATTTGATTCGTATAATCTTACAATATTTCGAACACTGTGCCTAGATAACCCGAGCAATATTCCAATTTCACCTTTGATTTTCCCGATTTATGCAAATGAATGATAATTGATAGAATATTTTCATCTATGGCCTTTCCTCTGCCCATTTTCTACCGCAACTACGAGGTACGGCCGCCTGATAAACTAAGGTTCGCTAAAACAAACGAGCGTCGTTGACAAACAAGCATTGTTACCACGTCCGTCTTGACAAATCATCGTTAGCAGTATTTGGGTATTGAAGTTTTTTTACAGTTGTCGATTTTTTATGAAACAACAACTCTATTGAATCCATACATTTCCTAAATTGCTATAAATAGCATATTTTGTCTTATAACTTACAATATCTTCTATATCTCCTATATTCTAGTGGGTTTTTTGCCGATAAATGTCAAAAAACTACAAATTTTGTGTGTGGGCCAACTGAAGCTGGACAGGGCTCGTATATATATATATATATATCCTTTAATTTCTTTGGGTAGAAGGCAAAGTATTGCAAAAGTACGCTCTTATAACTTAAACTCTCAAGCTTCCGAAGATCTATGTCTTCATCGTCTGGAGCTGGAAACAATTATTGACAATAGCAACAAATAACAATTAGGAGAAAAATATGTACTTACTAAGTCGGCGAGATTGTTGGTGAAATTGTTTTTAAACAACAGTGAAGGGAACACATAGTCAACTGTTGTTTCCAGCTCCAGACGATGAAGACATAGATCTTCGAAAGCTTGAGAGTTTAAGTTATAGGAGTGTATTTTTGCAATACCTTGCCTTCTACCCAAAGAAATTAAAGGATATCTTCTCCTAACAGCTACGAATACTATATATACAGGGTGACTTTGAAGTTGAGTCATTAATTTTCAGATAATGATTGTAGAAGGAAGATAAACCAGAATATGTGTGTAAAAATAAAAAAAAATTAAAAAAAAATGTTTACCTTGTTTTATAAAGTATCCTCCCGACAAGTATTTCAGTGCGGACCTGTATTTGATCGTGAGGTCCCCTGTGAGGTCTTCAAGTCACCTGATTCACGAGCCCGTTGTACTACATTAACAAAGGCACGAGGGGTTGGTTGCACTCGATTGGGAAACCGATCCGCATAAACATGTGCCATTTTTTATTTCGTTTGAGCCACGCAACAGACACTATTCACACGCTAACCGACTGTATGTATAACTGAACTGAATAAAATACTTAATTGCAAAAACGTCGTTCCAAATTCTTTCGCTTTTTTGTTTCCGATGCGATGAACCGGTAATGCGGATTATATCCGTTGTTGCCAAACACGAGTACATGATATTATTATTGAGACAGGGCGGTACTCAAACTTCCAAAGGGCTATAACTTTGTTACTTTAATTTTACCAGAAAAATGGTAAAGGAAAAAAACATTTCTTTTGATCAGATCTATTCACTGTTAAAATAAATGACTCAACTTCGAAGTCACCCTGTATATATATATATATATAACTTGAGACGTGGTCATTGTCTTCTAGACCAGTTAGGTGAAAAATTAAAGCTTCCGCCTTTTGTTGGGTACTTCGACAAAATTTAAGCAAAGAGAACTGTTTATACTTTTTTTAATTCTCTCCTGCTCCTGATGATGATGGCAAAGTCCATTGAAAGCTAGAGAGAATTAAAAAAAGTATAAAGAGTCATCTTTGCTTAAATTTTGTCGAAGTACCCAACCAAAGGTGGAAGCTTTAATTTTTCACCTATATATATATATATATATATATATATATATGAAGTTGTGGCCCTGAAAAGGACTGATTGAAAAAATAAAGGTTTTTAATGCTCCCGTAAATACTCGAAATGTTTACCATCACGATCTATGCATTCCTGGAGCCTCTCATTGTTAGTCAAAACTGCAGCTTCAATTTCGGCTGTAGGTATGCTACGTATTACATTACGAATCGGTTTTTCATATATTCTCTGGTTGTAGGTTGTGTCTGAAACGATGTCTTTTAACAGTCTCCATGAATAAAAATCAAGACAAGGTAAGTCCGGTGATCGGGAAGGTCATGGAAACACACTTCCTCTTCCAGTCCACCGCTGTTGAAATATTGCATTAAAATGCCACACATTAAAACTCCAACGCCCTTGGTGCTGAGCTTCATGCCACTAATACGGCTTTTCTGTAGACCAATAATGCATATTATGCAGATTGACCCTCCCATCACTATTAAAGGTGGCTTCTTCGGTCCAAGGAATTTGAAATAAAAATTCTCTATTTTCGCATATAATGCCTAACATCCAATGCCAATAGTACAACGTCCAATCAAAGTCTTCTTCTTCCAAGGCCTGATTTAAAACGACATGATATGAGTTCATTCTGAACGTAATTAAAAAGAAGATAAATTTAAATAAATCCTTATATTTTGATGGTTATTAGAACTTACCTATGGTCCTTCAAAATATTTTGAACCGCTGTTCGTGATATGCCCAACTCGAGGGATAATGCCCTTGTGCTAACATGAGGATTTCCTTCAATATATTTCAGTACGCGGTTAATATTTTCTTGTGTTTTACCAATCCTTTGTCGTTAAAACGTAGGCCGAAAACTACCATTGGCTCGTAAGCTCGCCACTGATCGGAGAAAAAGTATTACGTCGCAAAGACGCCGGTTTGGATATCGCGTAAACTCTTTTTGCTAGTGGGGCATTCTGAAGACATTCAAAATAAACCTCAGGTGTATCAACAGCTTCATCGTTCGTAAAGCGCATTTGGTAAGCACAAAAATTGCTCAAAGCAAGCTATTAACAATTTGAGGATAATTTATGTTTTTAGGTATATGTCTTGTTGTATTCCATGGTCTGCTTCTATTAATTGTCTGTTTCGTATATACCCACCTATAGTGAATATGCATTTAAACAAAAAGTATGCCTTTTATTATTAACATTACTCACTTACCTTTTAGCAACACTTTGTAATATTTTCAAAAAGGGTGATTTTAAATTAGAAGTAATAAAAAAGCATTCCACATAAAAATTAGTTTAAGAAAATAAAAATTTAAGGGATTTTCGTATAGAATTTTCTTTGGTCTAAATTTTAGGTGGAACAGGCGGTTTCTGTGATTTTGTTTAGGCATTATTTAGCTACTTTTTCATAAAACAAATCATAACAATGCATTTAATTTTTTTAAGGAAATTAATCATTTCTGTCGGAATATCGAAAAAAGCTCTCTAGCGGCCACATGTGAAACTAACAAAACTCCAAATATTATAACATTTGTAGTCTCTCTTTCCAACTAGCTCAAGTTTGTTAAAATCGGCTCAGCTGTTTCGAAGATACAGGGTGTTTTTTACGGAGCACCCTCCCACCACTTTATTTTTAGAGATACAGCAAACTTTGTCAAACAAAAAAGTTTACCTTATCCTCGACTTTGAAGATCCGGTATTATTTTGTTTGATTAATCACTTTTTTAGATTCAAGATTGCAGTTACTAGGACTTTTTTGACACAAGCCTCTACGATGGATAGGTTCCTAAGTACAGTGCCTTGCATCCTTAGTTGCCCACCCTGTCATAACATAAAAGATCATGTCACTCATCGGCATTGCTCTTTGTCTGGTAAGCCTCTGGATTTCTATATTTGAGAAAATATTAGGTACGGTTTTGACACAAGAGTAGCACAATGGCAGGGAC